TTTTCAGTTACAAATTTAAATATAAAATATAACATTTTAATACAGAAAGAACTCATATCTTAGATTTAACATTTAGGCAAATATATCATGTATGTGTAAACAGTAAATGAATTAATAGACTGTTGATTTTATAAATTTCAGAACACTCTTAGAAAAGCTCGTGTCTCATAGTAAGCACTTAATAAATATTTGTTAAATGAACTATAGCTAATAACATGTAATGACCATTAAGTAATCTGTGTGGCAGACATGGTACAAAGTTCATCAAGTGGGCTATCACCTTTAATTCTCACCTACCTGCTAGATATCAATACAATAAGTAGTATTATTATGCTAATTTTAAGGGAAAGGAAACAGAGGCACAAAAATGATTAAGTGGTTTATCCAATTACATTCAGCTAATAAATAACAAGGCTTGCATCTGAAACTTAATCTGTTCTCAAAGCCTTCTTAATCATATAGAATAGGGAATAAATACATAGTTTTAAATTCATACTATGATATCAATGACTAGTCATATACACTATTCAGATATTAGATTTTTGAAAGAACACTTGTAAGAAAAGGGACCAAAAACAGGTGCCAAAAAGACTCATCTGGTTAATATTTCTATTGCTCAAAGGTAGATTTTGACAGAATTCATTTATAGTAAGTACTAAGCTTAATGACAATATTAAGCAACATATTAGGACATATATTCATATATTTTAATTGTTTTCATTACATCATATGGGGTAAAAGTATTTAAAGCAAACATGGAAGAAGGATATGTAAGATATTTCTTTCTTGAACCACAAATAGGAGATAATTTATACTGAGATCTTCAATATATTGTTCATTACCATGGAACACATGTTATGAATATTTACAAATTTCATCACTGATGGGTGAAATCTGAGTTATTTTGTCATATACAAAATATAAACCAAAATAAACATCACCATATATTTGTCTTTGAGTGTTACTTGAATATCTCCATTCATATTTAGGAAGTCAGTTAAGAGTTTGAGATTCCAAAATGAATAAATCAAAATAAAAGATATCTTAGTTCTTATGATTATTCACTATTAAATATAATTTATCATTTTAGAAATTTCCAAGATTTGCTCACTAAATTGGCCTCAGAATATAAAAACTGCATGAAATATATAGGAATGTAAAGTGAAGGCACCATTTGACACATAGCACTTCAGTCCACTTAAAATAATTTCTTTCAAAAAAAACCAAACCTGATCTCCACCTGTCTTTGGGTTTGCATGTAGATAAATAACACCAACACTATTTGCTGTTTGTTACCCGAAAAGCTAACCACTCAAAGACAAATCCCAAAAAATCAAGAGTGTTGGCTAAGTCCTTTTTGGGTGACAGCTATTTTACTTCCAATCCTGATTTATTTATCTTAGGTGTTTATTATTCTGCAACTTCCAAGGTACTGTCCATATATGCTCCTTCCACCTCCATAGCAAAGCACCAGCTTTTGAATCAAAGGTTTCCAATTTACATTTCAACCCTGAAATTCAGTAGCTGTGGTACTTCGGGAGAGCCAGTTATTGGACACTCATTTCCTCATGTACTATGAAGGTAAAAATAATTACCCTACAGGGTTGTAGAGGGATTGAATGAGAGAGTATGTAAGTAAAATAAATGTAAAATGCTAATGATACACTCCCCTCTGTACTTATAAATACATAGTTTTAAATTCATACTATGATATCAATGACTAGTCATATACACTATTCAGATATTAGATTTTTGAAAGAACACTTGTAAGAAAAGGGACCAAAAACAGGTGCCAAAAAGACTCATCTGGTTAATATTTCTATTGCTCAAAGGTAGATTTTGACAGAATTCATTTATAGTAAGTACTAAGCTTAATGACAATATTAAGCAACATATTAGGACATATATTCATATATTTTAATTGTTTTCATTACATCATATGGGGTAAAAGTATTTAAAGCAAACATGGAAGAAGGATATGTAAGATATTTCTTTCTTGAACCACAAATAGGAGATAATTTATACTGAGATCTTCAATATATTGTTCATTACCATGGAACACATGTTATGAATATTTACAAATTTCATCACTGATGGGTGAAATCTGAGTTATTTTGTCATATACAAAATATAAACCAAAATAAACATCACCATATATTTGTCTTTGAGTGTTACTTGAATATCTCCATTCATATTTAGGAAGTCAGTTAAGAGTTTGAGATTCCAAAATGAATAAATCAAAATAAAAGATATCTTAGTTCTTATGATTATTCACTATTAAATATAATTTATCATTTTAGAAATTTCCAAGATTTGCTCACTAAATTGGCCTCAGAATATAAAAACTGCATGAAATATATAGGAATGTAAAGTGAAGGCACCATTTGACACATAGCACTTCAGTCCACTTAAAATAATTTCTTTCAAAAAAAACCAAACCTGATCTCCACCTGTCTTTGGGTTTGCATGTAGATAAATAACACCAACACTATTTGCTGTTTGTTACCCGAAAAGCTAACCACTCAAAGACAAATCCCAAAAAATCAGGAGTGTTGGCTAAGTCCTTTTTGGGTGACAGCTATTTTACTTCCAATCCTGATTTATTTATCTTAGGTGTTTATTATTCTGCAACTTCCAAGGTACTGTCCATATATGCTCCTTCCACCTCCATAGCAAAGCACCAGCTTTTGAATCAAAGGTTTCCAATTTACATTTCAACCCTGAAATTCAGTAGCTGTGGTACTTCGGGAGAGCCAGTTATTGGACACTCATTTCCTCATGTACTATGAAGGTAAAAATAATTACCCTACAGGGTTGTAGAGGGATTGAATGAGAGAGTATGTAAGTAAAATAAATGTAAAATGCTAATGATACACTCCCCTCTGTACTTAAGAAAGATGCCAGTTTAAGGAAAGCTACTGAGTTCCTTCTGTAAATTTATCTTAGCTCATTAATTAGATGAATTTAGTTAAACCATGGCCCAACTCAATAACATTATTCAACTAAACCTGCTAGTTGAGTCAAAGGATCAAGCCAATAATTTGATACAGATCTGGTTACTTTAAAAGTTAAAAGAGCGCCTTAAGAACAGCTACTAATAAAAAGAAACAGTAATGCCCCAGAACGTGCCTGAACACGGAAGAACCTCTCATTCTCCAGACATTAGCAAAGCTCCAGGGAGTAGTTGAAGCCAAAACTGTGGTCTCTCTGCCTTGTCCTTCAAACGCTGTGTACTCCAAACACATTTTCTGTGCAGCTGGAGGCTTTGTTATAGACAGAAGGATCCTGCTTAGTGAGGCCAGTGTTTATGGCCTAACTTTTTTAAAGAGGAATTTGGAAAACTTCCCAGACACTACATCTGCCCCTAGCCCTTGCACCTCCAATGATAAGGCTGGTCAGGGAAACGGCACAGACGACTAAATTTATTAATAGTGGATGGGCCACTCTATCTTTCACTGCAACAACAGTAGGTGATCCCATAGAAAATCTGTCTGCTGGCTAGCCAGCAAATCCAAGCTGACATGCTTACAGAAACTACACCCGGCTAAATGGAAAGCAACACTGTTCCCTCAAAGAAACACATCACAAGCCAAATGGTGGACCAGGAAAGCACTTTCCATTTCCATTTGAGAACAAGTCTTTCACTCTTTACCTATAGGTTCTTTTCCAGATACCTGTTTGTTTGTTTCTTTTCTTGCCTTTCTTTGACCTTTATGAGTATCAAGCAGAAGCAGAGCATTTTAGGAGAGCTAAATGGTTGAATTTCTAATAATACTCAGTGAAGATCTTGATGTACAGGCCAGTAGTAAAGCATGCATGAATCTCAATACATCTCAGCTAGAACATAATTAACATTCATTACAAACTGACATGAGCAGCCAGCCTCACTTAAAAGCAAATTATTTACTATTTTACATTTACATGTAAAAATGAAACAATGATATTTGAGCTAAATTTTATAGCTCTGATTCCATTTCATCACCCTCAATATATGCAAGATTTTAAAGACTGAGTTTTTCTCGATAATGATTTTCTCATGGATTAAATTAATATCATTATGTGTTTACAAAACAACATGTATCTCATTTTTTGTAAATTTCTAAAAATTGGGGATGTGATGTACCATAAATATAGTGGCAGTTTTCTGCAACTATAGCAAAATAGTGCTTTTAAAAGCTATAATTCTTAGCAGTAACAGGACTTGAAGTGTAAGACCAGAAGTTGGGTGAGGCAAATAAGGCAGGGTCAGGCAAATGAGGGTCAGATCCTACCTTTATTTAAAATTTTGATATTTTACTAGGTATTTTTTGGCATTAGTTGTCATTTTTTAGACTATTTTATCAAAATATTATTTTTGTTGATATTTGAGTTTTTTGGTGCCTTTAAATTCTGTGCCTGAAGCACACACCTCACTTGCCTTCCCCTAGACCCGGCCTTTAGAAGGCTGGTTTTCCCCAAAATGAGTTTTTCCCATAATGCTTTCCATAGAACATGGGATATTAATTTTTGTAACACTTAAAAAGCAGAAGTTAAATCAAGTAAGAGTTAGGAATACTTAGCTAAACAAAGTTAAACAGCTTTCTTACAATCCTTTTTAGAGGTTTCAATCACTTGATGTGAACTGCAAATCTCTTAGCAGCCTGGCAATGTTCAGGCTCATTTGCCCAAAAAACTTTTTTTTTTCCACAGAACAAGTGAAATATTCTGAGGAACACATTCTGGTTAATAGTGAAATGAGAGCCACTTCCAGCACATTTTTTGATCCAATAAAGCTGTCTTTCCAGATGCTTTTTTTTTTCTTTTCTTTCCCCACTTACCCCACTTTCTTTCCAAAATCCAAAAAGATGGATGTGTTGACACACTCAGGCTAAAGCTACAAAAGGACTGAATTAGTATTTCTATAAATAGGCATAGTAGCAATTCATTATAAAGAGATATCAAATAATAGATGATTCCTTAGGGCTTAGTACCTCAAATAAAGTAATATCAAGCATGCCTACCGGTAAAGTCTGTATTGACTGGGTGAGCAGAGCTGGGAAATCTGTAATATCCATTCCCTGTGAAACGAATTCCTTTCACCATCATGGCGCTTGGAGCCAGCAGAGATGCCTCTCTCCTTTCCAGCTGATAAATAGGAGAGGGTCCGTTCAGGTCCTCAGGTACAAGCCACCTAAGAAGGATGGTTGTGCTGTTGATTCCTTCAACTACAGGAGGCCTCAGCTGGGCTGGTGCTAAATATTAGAAAGCACTTGTTACATTCAAGAATTTCATTTCTCTTCTCTGCACACAGATATTCACACATATGTATACGTGCACTTATGTGCATCACACTCAAAATCAAATCAGTTATGGCTTCAAGTATTTATATGGTATTGGAACTAAAAATGCAAGGTAGAATTTACCCTTAATGTGACTCAACACGATTTAAATGACTAACAAATACTTAACACAAAACTCATATGTTTAAATGAAATTATTTTCTTGCAAATAATTTCTTTATTCTTTCCTGGTAAATAATAGATAGCACGTATCTGTTGATGCCCCATCCAGATTCCTTTTACCAAGGAGATGGGCCAGTGCTCCAGCTTCTGTGCCTGTTGGTCTCTAACGGGTCACGGCTTCCCCTTCTGAGGAAGCTCCCTTACCTAGGTGGGAGCTACTCCACTCAGGAGCTGCAGGATCCCTGGTAAAACCTGCAGCCTGTGACTACCAGTGACTACTGATCCGAAAAGGTAGGGTCCCTTGTCTTAGCACAGTATCAGCTCAGGGCTGTGATTCACAGAGGCCAAGCAGGTGAAGGAAATGGTTGGAATGGGCTAGTTGGGAAGACAAGAGGGAGTGTGGGCTCTGAGAAGAGCTGGGTGGGGATAAAGGGTCACTCATTTGTGCTGGCCAGTAGATGGAACCCAAAGCAGGAATGATGAACCAAAGTTGCTAAATCTAATTTTTTAAAATCATTTTGTGTGTAACTATCTGATTTTTAAAACTTAGTAACTTGCTGAAATAGACAATAAGCAAAAACCACTCTGAAAGACAAACAAAAGCATCCAAATGAAGGAATGAGCCTGTGAGCTGAGAGGTTTACAAACTGGTTCAGGCACAAGAGACTCTGGGCATCCTCCTGGACCCTGAAGTGACCACACCTCAAGCAGGGCCAGTGCCTTGGGGCAGTGAGTGACCATATGCACACTGGGGCCCTGCATGCTTGAGTTCCTGGGACCCTGGCAATTCTTTGAAGGCTCCTGGGAGACCCAAGGTGCAACAGAGACTGAAATGTCTCCCTACAACCTACTGCAAAGGGGATTTGAGTAACAACTGAATAACGGAAAATGAAACTCTTTTTAGTTTTTTTTTTCCTTAACCAGTTGAGCTTGTAAGCTAACATTTATACCCACTCTAAGTGTGTCAGCTTGATGTGAGAGGCGAAAGAAAGGAACAAATGTCATAATCACCAAGCCTATTTATTAAGGACCCAAACTAAGGCTCTGAACTTCTAATTTACGCCTGTGTTCAGGTACAAAGTCTGCCCATTTCAATAAACATCAGTTTAAAGGATGTGAATACAGGAATTGATATCCTTCAACCATGGAAAGAAATTAACCTTAAAACAGCTTAGAATAATTACTATTTGTTATTTTCTAGAAAGCTTGGCCAGCTTTCCAAAGAGAAGCAATTAACTGTGATTCTATTTTAACTCTCTGTAAAGAAGAGAGGGCACCGAGCAAAATGTTCATCAACTTGGAAAGATAATTAACAATTTTGTTTATCTTCTGTCACTGCAAACCATGTGATGTTTTTATTTTTATATATGTATGAATCTGTAAATTTTATGCATGATTTCCTTCAGTATTCCTTGCCAAAAATTAGCTAAATGGTGGGTTCTCAAAGATTTCATTCTACAAGCTATGATCTATCTTCAAAAAAATTCAAAATAAAATATAAAGCTAAGCCATCCAGAAATTTCTTTTCCTACTAAGCTTCTCTTCAGAGTTTTGGAGTTCCATCTTTGTATTAAAATTTCCGTAGGCCATTATTGGCTATCAACTTAACTGGGAAAGAAGGAATCAAAGATTTCTGAGTCCTGAACTTAGGAAAGCAATGGAGGACCAATTACATATTTTGTTTTTATTGTCTGAAATTTTCTATTTAGAAGCACAAAAGAGGAATTTTAAACTCTTATGTTAATTTTCTGCGTCCCACTTGAATTTTGCTAGTGCTCTGGGACACAAGGACTTGAACATTTTAGTTTGAAAAATGCTATCTATTCCAGGGATACCCAATGGAACTTTCTCTAATGATGGAAATGCACTAGATTTTTACTGTCTTGTAGGTTAGGCACTCATCACATATGACTACGGAGCACTTGATATGTGGCTAGCATGACAGGAATGGAATTTTAGATGTATTTAATTTTAATTTATCACATTTTAAACTTAACTATGCTATGGCTACCATACTGGACAGCAACATTCTAGAGAATCACAAATTATACCTATGTAGTATGCTGGGAATAGGATTTCCATTTTTAACAAAATATTTAGAGAAACCATGAATCAACCTCCTGTACTTCTTAAGAACTGTACAGTTTTATTCTTATTTAAAGCAGATTCTTCCTCAAGATCCCATTGTTTGACTTTGACAGTCTTTTACTTTATTCCAAGCAGCCGGCTAGATGGGGATAGCAATGAAGCTCTGCACTGTTACGGTACTCACAATCCTCTCCTCATGGGTAGCATGACCCCAAGTCACCTCCTAATCAGGAATATAGATTCAGACTCAAACCAAACAGAAGAAAAGGAATACAAGCAACTTGACATATTTTTTTTTAATATCTCCTAAAAGTGAAAGCATACATTTTATTTTTTTCACTTGGCAAAATGATTCTACCCAATAAAGGTACTCTTTGACTGAGAATCCATTAAAATTAATATTGACTATTTAATAAGTAGTACACCACTTCTAGATTCACAGAGGAATTATTCCACCAAGCAATTTAGACTATTCATGGGAAGTCATCTACAGACAGTAAGTTGAACTAGAGTATATGCATATTTTTATCTTTTGCTTAAGTAATACCAAACAACCTTCCAGGTGGTTTGTTGTAGTTTCATTGGAGGAATCAGCTCAGCCTGTTTGAATGAATGAGCTCCCTTCCATTATCTTCAGAGCACCTCTAAGGTCAGAGAGGGATTTTTCAATCAATTAAACCAGACTGGTTACACACACACACAAACACACACACACAGAATGAGAAGAAAAACAGATATGAACTATTAAACGCCCTCACACAAACACAGACTTACCATAAAATAGGGAAATAAAGGATTATTTCTCATATTATCAGAGTAAAGGGATTGTAGGTATAAATTTGTTAATCATAAAACAGTAAATTAAGAGATAACATGGAATAATGGAAAGGATTTGACAGACTTTCAGAGATTATATTTTTTCACTTTTTAATTTCCAAATATACATGGTTATATAAACATAATTGAAAATGTATATATGCTCCATTTTCCTATCTGCAACATAATACATTTTCAGTAGAATACTTTGATAATAACTGCTTTTAAATACAATATACGTAACTGTGTTAGATTCTGCAAAAACATTTCTATGCTAATGTAAGGCACTGTTACGGCTAGACAATAACACATATTACAAAAGGATACAAGTCATCCACTTTCAAAATCTATCTGTCTTTACTTAGAAAACCCTCTTACAAATATAAAGTACAAAACAGACCTTCATACCCATCCTTTCAGAGACTAAAAACATACAGTGTTTCTACTTGGAATAAAATTACAATGTTGTTTTTTTTGCAATAGATAGGTAATCCAGTTTCTAGCCCTTCCATTCATAAGTATTCTTTTATAAAATGCTCTGAAATGGACATTCTTCTTTAAGCAGCATTTATTTTACTTTAAAATCTGATTCATAGCACATCATAATGCATAAATTTACACTTGCAAAATTTATGTAGTGTGGAGTTAACACCATAGGATAAGAACTGAAGACTAAATAAGCATTAGCTCTTGCTGATGACAGGTCTTTAAAATTGAATCTCTTTATTTGTTTCCAAGGAAGATTTTGTTCTCTATGAAGACTGCATGGCAGTATCAATGCCTTAAAACATCATCAACTTTCTATTATGAAGACAGGAACCCATTAATGAATGGCCTTTCCACACTGCAGGAGTATGTAGGGGGCAGACAAATATGAGATGTCCTCAGGCACCTTGTCAATAGAAAATAATTTTGACTTTTTCTCAGATATGCAAAACTTGTCATGGGAAATGGAATTCATCAAAAAGCAGAAGGCCAAAACACCTGTGAAAGGACACTGGGACCAGGCCTCAAGAAATCCAAATATGAAGCCATAATTTTGTACTTGGCAACTGCCCTTCTATCAGTGCCCAGAAGAGGAAAGGATTCTCCCTCAGATTCTCAGAAATCACTCAGCATTCCTTTGTTGACTATTTATTCTCTGACTGGGTAAACAAAATAAAAATAAAAAAATCTATTTTACCATTCCCTTCTTTTTTACTAGTCTCCTTCAAGAGAGAACATGTTTAGTAGAACTGGTCTGGAAAAGAGAAAGCTTGGGTTCTAGACTGGCTCTTTAGGTCCCTAGCTGTAGAACATCGGTTAACCCATTACTTGGTCCCTCTACTCTCTGGTGCCTGATTTGTTGAAGAGCATGTAAGACCTGATTATGTCTAGGATATCTTCTAGTTTCGCAATTCTGTGATTGAACACTTTCAAGCAGTGTTGCTCAACGAGTAAGCCAGGAGGGGTGCTGAACTTTGGTCTCCTCAGCCCTCTAGGAAGTCAGCTAGTTTATCAGCTTTGAGTTACCTTGTTTCTTTACCCCGGAGGAGTAAAAAATGTTGTGATTTTTCTGTGTGTTCTATGACATAAGAAAGGCCAGAAAGCATTGCTGTTAGAGAATTTAAGGAGAATCATCTCCTTGGTAAATAAACACTACTTTAGCTGTCGACCTGGTCATCAGCGATAACTTGCACATGACCAGCATCCCACACATGAAGAGAGAAGACGATCCATGATTTCTGAGCTGCAAAAACAGAAGCAATGATGACAGCAAACGCTGTTCCCTAGAGTCCGCCATTAATAAAAGGCAGTTGCTTGGACTCTAATTATGGCATCCTTGCTACCCAAACTTGAAGCTTTTATGAGGCTTATGCAATTAACTACTTAAATGCATCGTAACA